TCTGTGTGTTTTTTCCCCTCCTGAGGTTTCCGGAACCCGCTAAGTGTCGGCACGAGCGGAAAGATCGGGAGCTTTGAGACGGGGGTCAGCCAGAGCGCCGGATCTTGCAGGATCTTGCAGACCAGGGCTGCACTGCCCCAGGCTTGCGCGCAGGGCCCTGCAGGATCCTGCAGGATCTTGCACGGCCTGACTGACCCGGGCTTGCACTGACCCGGGTCAGTGCGTCCTCGAAGCATGATCGGAAAGAGTTCGGCAACACCCCAACATACTTATACTATATGTGCGTCGCCCCCCCAGGGGCGACGCGCGCACCGAGAAATCTTATAGTATATGCGTCGTGGCGGGCGCTTTCTGGCCACACCGCTCGGGAAACGATATACCACAAGATGGGTATACTATATGTTCGGGTCGGACGCGCGCCTCCAAGGAGGACATCTAGTATTAGTATGTCCATGTGCGTCCCAAGAGTGGGTGTGGAAAGAGTGGGTTACAGAAAGAGTGGGCAGGAAGCATGGGCATCAGAGGCATGGGGGTTGACGCCGGCACCAGCATCGGGTGTGCCTCTCCACCGAGGGGCCGACCCTCGGTGATGGCGGTAATGCTCGGGCGTCCTGGCCAGCCGACAAAATGACCGCCAACACCAGAGTCAACCACCAAATTACCACCAACACCAAAGTTACCACCAAAAAAGTCACCAAAATTATCGCCTTCCCCTGGTGGAGGCAACCCCCTGCGCTGGTGGTGGCTATTTCCAGGCCTCCAAGGGTACAGAAAGGATGAGTACGAAGACCGACTGCAGTTCGTTCTGGACGGAATCCTTGTCAGTACCGCCGCGGATGTCGTCCGTCCGAAGCAAAATGCCGCCTGCCCAACAGCGATCGCTGCCGGATTCGGACAACATTTGTTGTTGGGCACTGTGTCCGTTTTTCCCGCATCTACGCCTGGAGCGTCAAAGTGTCGCCATGAAGGGGGACCGGCTTGGCTGAAGGCGAGCTTCGAGGTTGGATGATTTCTGGTTCTCGTCATCGGTTCTCGGCGGCGTTTCGGCCTCGTGGTGCCTTCTGGCGGCTGCGCCTCGCCGCGAGCGGCTCGGAGGTGCCCAGATCTTCCCGAACGGCCGCCAGAGGCCCGAGCTCTGGCCCGCGAGTTGGCAGGGGTCTCCCACAGGGACTCCGAGCACGGCATATAACTGTGAGGCGCTGGGGAGGCTCAGGCAAGGCAAGCCCCCTAAGAGAGAAAGTGTCTTTGACTGGGGGAGAGCGCCGTCGGTACGCTCATCGACTTCTGATCAACCATTCGACCTGCTCGGCAATGTCTTCGGAAGCTTGACGGGCAGCGGTCCACAGCAACAACAACAACAAAAAAAACGGGTCGGGGATCGGGCTCGGGGCATCGCCGAGGAGTCGGAGAGGAGGAGGCGAGGAGGAGGAGGAGGAGGAGGAGGAGGAGGAGGAGGAGGAGGAGTCGGGCTCGGACGTCGGGTCGGAGTCGGCGAGGCATCGCCGATGGATCGGCGGCAGGCCCCGGGCAGCAAGTCCGCACGCGTTCCTGGGCGGGGGGGGTGGGCCGGCGGGCCCCTCGTCGGCGATCTTGGGGGGGGTCGAGGCATCTCCCCCCGAGCCCATCTCAGCCACGCGCAGGAAGGATTGCAAAAAAAACCGAAGGATTGCAAAAAAAAACCTGGATTGCAAAAAAACCCTAGGTTTTTTGCAATCCTAGGTTTTTGCAATCCTTGGTTTTTTTGCAATCCTGGGTTTTTTTTTGCAATCCTTCGTTCAAGGGGGGGGGGGGGGGGGGGGGAGGGGGGAGGGCTTCTTAGAAGCACCCCTGCTTCTTAGAAGGCGCGGGCCTTGTCTGTAGATGTCAGGCCCGGCGCCTTCTAAGAAGCAGCCTGCTTCTAAGAAGCCCCCCCCTCCCCCCACCCCAATGCGCGCGCCGCCAACTATCCCCCCATGACTTTGCCCCTGAGGAGAGGGTCGGGGAAGCGTCTGACTCGAGTGCGCCAGGACGCGGGTCTGCCGACGATTTTCGACGAGCGCGTCTTGGATCTTGACGGTCCAGTGTTCGTGGGATGTCTGCAGCGGGAGCTCGCGTCAAATTTCAGATTGGGTCTGGTCATTTTCATGATGTCCCTCGAACCCGAGTCTTTCGTCTCCCCGCAAGGGGTCCTGGGGGAAACGGTTCCAGACGGGTCTTGTCGTTTGCGGGCTCTCTCTGGGCCCTGGCCCCGGGGACCACGAACAAGAGCTCCTCGGGACCAGGAGCTGGTCCCCAGGGGAGGGCCCGTTGCCTCAGGGCCCGCTCTCCTTCATGCCAGAATCGGGGGCGGTAGAGAGAGGGAGTGGTGGCTGGGGGGGGGACAGCATGGCCATGGCCATGATATCTCCCCAGATTTCATGGCGGCTCTTCGTCTCTTCCGATTTCAATACGCCCCCAGCCCCCCCCCCCTGGGCCGCGCACATCCCGCCGGCCATGATTTGCGCCCCCCCCCCTTTTGAACGCCCCCCTATTGGACGCCCTCGACAACAATTGTCAGTTTCGCCGCCGCTGTCGTCGTCGTCGTCGTCGTCGTCGTCGTCGTCGTCGTCGTCGTCGTCGTCGTCGTCGTCGTCGTCGTCGTCGTCCCACTCTTCGGACGCCTTCCTCGGCTCTCGGAGGTTTTCTCGCCCGCCTGGATGCCTTCAGCAAACTGCACCTCGCCGAGAGCGTTCCAGTGGCTCCCGCATTGTTCCAAACGGCCGCCAGAGAGCCGATGTATGACCCGAAAGCCCTCCTCGTCGCCGCCGCCGCCGCTGTCAATGTCGCTGCCGCCGTCGGGGTCGTCGCCGCCGTCGTTGTCTTTGTAGTCGTTGTCAAAGGCGTCGTCGTCACGAGGCTCTTGTCTTCGAGGGCGGCGCGCACGCAGCGTCAGGCGGCGAACACGAGCACGAGCAGCGACCGAGCGCGCGCGCGCGCGAAGGTGAGGCGAGGAGGAGCGCAGGCCGAGGTGCCGTCCCGCGCTGCCCCCTCACCCCTCGCCCTCCCCCCCCCTCCCCCCCCTCCCCAGGGGCAACGTCATGGGGGGATAGGCTCAGGGGGGGGGAGGGGCATCGACCCCCAATGGCCCACTGGTCGCCGACAGGGGCCAGGCAGCCCGCCCCCGCCCAGGAGCGTGCGAGGGTTTCGCTGTCGGGGGACGGTCGCCGAGCTGTCGGCGGTGGATCGCCGTGGAGCAGGGGAGGGGAGGGTGCCGCGGCTGGGAGTGCTGGCATTGTACCCACGCCGCGTTCTCGCAAGGGCTGCGAACTCCGCGGGGAACAAAGCTTCAGGGTCGCCCAAGAGGTACCGCGGCACGCGAAAGTCCATTCGCAACAAGATTCCACTGACTCGAGACCCGTCACAGGAAAACAGGGTCTAGTTTTCCGATCGTGGCTTTCCACGGAGTTGCATGTTATGTGCAAATTGTTATGTTTGGGGAATTATGTTGGGCTTTGGTCGGCCCCTGATCAGAAGGATGTCGAAGGCGAAAAAGAGGGGAAGGGGGGCGACGATCTCTGAGCAGATTCGTTTCCTCATCCCCCGCACTCAGAGGAGGGCTGGGGAAGACAAGCAAAGCAAATCGAGAGGTAAACCGCCCTTGCGCAGCACTACGAGGAGAGGGTGCAACATGGTACATATTGAATGCTGTCACAGGAAACTGTTTGTCTTCGAGCCTTGAGAACTTCGAATTCAGAAGAAGATGTGGGTTGGGTATGCCGTTTGGTATTGAAGCGGATCGCACCGCTTCGCCAGAGGAAGGTCGTTCTTGCCAGCTACAAAACATGAGAACTGGGATCGTAATGTTAGGTCGGGCCCGGGCATGTCCCCCTACAGGCGGATTTTGGAGGAAAAACTCACCGTAGCCAAAACATGCTCAAAAATGGTCAAAGAATGCTCAGCAAATCCTCCCCAGACTATTTGTTGACTGTTTTTTGAGTTTTCCTGTACGTAATCGTAATGGCGTGGCTGTGCCTCTGAAGTGGCTGAGCTGGGGACCACCTCGGGCTCCGCAGGCGCCCGGGTGTTCGGACCGCCCCATCCGGTCCGGTGGGCGCCCGGTTCGTGGCCGTGGAACACCGTGGCCCGAGGAGCCCCCCTCGGTCTCTGCGCTCGAGGCTTGCGCCGCGTCCGCCGACCCCGTTCGGGCGATCGCAGACGTGGGTCGCCGTTTCGGCGGAGGTGGCGTAAGCCTGAGAGGGGTCGGCCGATCCCAAAGGGGCGTAAGCCTGCAAGGGGCCTGAAAGGGGCGTAAGCCTGACAGGGGTCCCGTTTCAACGGGGGCGTGGATCAGCGACGGGTCCCGCTTCCATGGGAGATCGCGGACGTCCGCCGCCGAGCGAGGCGGCACCGGCCGCATGTTGGGGGAGGGCGCCTCCCCCGATGCGTGGATTTGGCGACCGCGCGCCGCGTCCCCAGACCCCCGACGTCATGATTTTTTCATGACGTCGACCCCCCGAGTCCCGACCCATTCCCCGGGACCGGTTTTTCGTCCTGAGTTGTTTTTTGACGGTCCCGAGGGCCGGTAAGGGCTCCCAAATGCCAAAAATCATGAAAAACCTCCCGTCGTGATTTTTTCATAACTCGAGGGGGTCTGGGTCCATGGGTCGCCAGTCCATGTTTGCGCGCCCCCGACCCTTGGAGCGATCTGGGGGCAGCCCGGGCCACCGTGCACGTGGCCAACGCCAAAGGGGGAAGGCACCGAGACCCTGCGCTTCTCTGGAAGCTCTGGATGTTCGCTCACCGGGGCTCGTCTCTGGGGGTGTCCGACACGCCGAGGGGCCCCAGGGGGTTGGCGGATTGCGGGACGTGTTCTTCCCTCACCTTGTGGTGGCGACGAGCTTCGGAGGCTCCAGGCAGGCTGGGATAGGGGGGGAGATGGGCGGGAGAAGTAGCAGGGGGTGTTCGACGTCTCTTATGGTAGCACGACGACTGCGTGCTTCAAACGAGGGTCGAGTGGGACAAATCGTCGCTCTGCATTCCGTTCAAGCAGTGCTGGTTCGAGCGAAAATGGTTCAATCAACAGTGCTCGACGTCATCTGCTTTCCTACGGTCGTGAAAGATGCTTCGCAGATGTGGCAGTGTCTTGTCTGAAGGGCTTCGCCCTCTGCCGGCGGCTCCCCCTCAGATTGCTTGCCTGTCCACGCTTGGTTGGTAAGTTGGTCGGTGCTCTTGTCGGTAGGCTGGTTGGCAACTCGGTTGATTGGTGTGCTGTCCGAACTGCGATTTGGCAATTGATTTAGGTTGCCTGCTGGCTGGCTCGTTGCGGGCGTCTAGAATGATCACTGAGTGGTGGTAGCCTCGGGGGCGCGCCTCCAGTACAACTAACGAGGGTTCGAGGCTTCGGGAGCGTGCACCCCCGGCCTATCAACAAGGGTTCTTGGCCTCGAGCCCCGAAACGAATCTTCAGGAAACCACGGGGGGGCCGAAAAGCGCCCCCCGAACACATCTGCAAATACAGAACATGACAGCTGTTCTGCTCTGGAGACGGGACGGGGTGCTTTGGGGCAGCCTCCGTGGGATAGGTTCGCGGCCTCGGGAACGCCAACGTGTAGTAATGTACGACGGATTGTTGTTTCGAGCATGCAGAACGGGCGTCATGTACGAAAGGGGCCGTGGCCTCGGTAGCGCGAACCTGGCGTAAGCTACGACGGAATGTGGTTTGGAGGGCGCGAGCTTGGCGTAGCTTGCGATGGGCTGTGACTTGGGGGGCGCAGGTCTGGGGCTGCCGCTGCTGTCAAGGGACTGTGGTTCGGAGGGCGCGCGCGCACGGCGTGAGTTGCGATGGATCGTGGCCTCGGGAGCGAGGACCTGCTGTGATGTGCCACGGAGTGTGGCCTCAGGGGCGCGAGCCTGGCGCAATGCATGGAGGGTTGTTGCCTGGGGAGCGCGGGCATGGCGCAATTTGCAAGAGGGTGTGGCCCGGGGAGCGCGAGGCCAGTGCAAATGGTCTGGGGCTGCAGTGGGGGAGCGCGAGTGCAGCGCAACCTGCCAGGAGCACGGCCCCGGCAGGGCGAGGCTGCTGGAACTCGCCCAGAATTGTGGCCTCGGGGGCGCGGACTTGGTGCGAGGTGAACGGGATTGTTGCTCCGGGAGCGCGAGAGCATGGCTTTATTCAGCAGTGATTCGGGCTTGAGGAGCGCGAGCCCGCGTCATTTACGAAGGGTTGCGGCTGCAGGGGCGCGAAGCAGAGGCAAATTACTATGGATCGCGGCTTCGGGAGCGCGAGTCTGGTGCAAGTTACAAAGGCGTTTGTGGTTTGGGGAGCGCGAGCATGGCATAATTTTTGCTAGTCATGGTGGCCTCGAGAGCGCGAGCGCGACGTGATTCACGAAGGGACGTGGCTTCGGCAGCGCGAATCTGCAGCATCTCACGTGTCCCAGGGCCCCCCCCCCACCCAGGAGTTCAGAGGATGCACGTTTGGGAAAGGGAGCGGGCGGTGTTCGGGCCCCCCTCCCCTCGCGCGGACTGAAGCCGTCACATCCGTGGAACCAGAGAACGCAGAAAAAAATTAGAATTCCCGTTTGGGAAATCGAACTGGCGCAGGGAACGTGAAAGTCCAGCTCTCGCAGGTTGATGGCCACCAGGGTGGCCGGCGGGTTCTCCGCTGGCTCCTTCCATGCGACACCATCCGTCGAAGCGAAAGAAGTGGATCCAGACGCATCGGCCAGGTTCCAAGGCTTACTGTCCTGGTTGCAGGAAGGAATAGACGAGGCTGGTCTTGGTGGACTGATGCAGGCGACGTTGAGCGACAGCTTTGAACTGCGGGAAGGGGACCACGGGAGAACGATCTTCTCGAGGCAGCAGTTCGAGCCGGGAGCGATCGTTGCCGTCTTGCCGTTGACGCGCTTGATCACAGGAGGCGCTGCGTTCCCCGGGGGTGCAGTGACCGACGAGTCATCTAGGTGCCTGCGGCAAGTCCTGCCAACGTGCCAGCCCCGCACCTTGGGCGGCCATTGTTCGGAGGGCGCACGGGAGGCCGTGGCGTGTGACGCGTCGTGCCCTGAGGCTCGGGAGAGCCGCAACATGTGACGCACTCTTCCGCGTCGTGTCGGGGGCTCCCTTCTCGTCATCGTGGCAGTCCTCCCTTGCTTCCGTCCTTTCTTGCAGCGGAGATCCATGCCAAGGAATACCTTGCTTGCCTCCAGGGTGCCCCGGGTTTCTTGGGTTTCGATGGTTTTGCGATGGAAAGCGTGACGTTCCCGCACCAGCAATCCATGGAAGTCTTGGGTCGAAGGGTTGGGTTTCTTGTGGATGGTTTCTTTTGGTCTGGCCTCCACTGTCGGCTCCTGTGGGGCAGTCTCGGGGATCGCTTGGGCCACTTTGGGCCGTCTTGGGGCTCTCCTGGGGCTTCCTTGTGTCGTCTTGAGGCCCTCTTGGCCGTCTGAGGGGTCTTTTGCGGCCGTCGTGGTGCAGTCTTTGGGCCGTCGAGGGGCTCTCTAAGGCCGTATCTGGCCCCTCCAGAGTCTCTCCCTGGCCAGCTTGGGGCTTGCGAGGCCGCCTGGAGGCACAGGAAGTTTTGAAAAGGTGAAGACGCCCAAGTTTTTGAAAAGCCGATGGACAAGTAGTGATTTGGATTTCTTCGGGTCCTACTTGGTGCCATCTGACGGCCCTCTTGGGCCGTCTTAGGTGCCCCTTGGGCCACCTTGAGGCCATCTTGGGCCGCCTTGGGGTCATCTTGAGCCGTTTTGGAGGCATCTCAGGCCATCTTGGTGGCCTTGATTGCCTACCTCGGCCGTCTTGCAAGCTCGGGATCCCGGACCCGCTGTTCTTTTGCAGGGAGTAGTGGCCTCGGAAGGGGGGGGCGGATGTGTGCAGAAGCTTGCGGCGAGAGGGGGAGGCTCGGAGGATTACAAAAAACCGTACCGGGCAGCCCTTAGCAGTCTGCCAGTCCTCTGCGTGCCAGGGGGCACGGTGGCGGATTTGCCCGGTATTTGGCGCATGAGCGCACCTTGGGTGAAAATTCCAGGTGGTCAAAGTATTTAGCAATGCTCCCATCGCAGTCGTCACTTCCAAAAAATTGGAACGAGTCTGTACTGCAACATTTGGAAGGATCGTCTGCACTCGCCCACATTAGGTCGCTGCGAGGGGACCTACAAAAAACGTTCAACAGCAGTTGGAGCCTTAATAAGCCGCCAGTTACCTTCGATGAGTTCGAATGGGGCTGGGACATGATGAATACTCGGTCGATAGAAGTTCACACCAAGATTGATGAATATGGGCGCTGCATGTTTCCATTGCTTGATTTGGCACTTCATGGCGACGTCAAGAATATAAATGCTGATTGGGACGTCGTACCTGGGGCCCTAGCTTGGATTGCTTACCGTCGCATTCATCGTGGCGGTGAGTTCCTAAATTCTTACGGCAGCCCGCTTCAAGAAGATGCCGATAGCTACAACAATTTCAATTTTCTCATCGGGTGGGGTTTTACGAGTGAGCGTGCAAGTAGTTTCCCAGCGGTTCATTTAGATATTTCCGCTGGTGACGCCCTTCGAGCGCAGCATCAATGCCATGGTGAGGGTTGGGATGACGCAACTGATATTAAACTTGTTCTGCGACGGAACGCAACCAATAAAGACGCCACACGTTTTCTCGAGTATGCCCGGTCCCTTGCGACCAAAATTGACCACAGACAGCATGGAACGACTTGGGGTGTGGAAGCAAAAGCATTATGTATCGCACGATCGCTTGCGACAGACGCCTTGTCTAGATACTCAACGTCGCTTGCTGAGGACAGCGCTTTACTGATAGATAGTAGCGTTGACCTTCAAACACGAATGTTGGTAAGACTCCGGCACGACGAGAAAGTGGTTCTTAAATGGTGGATTGAAGTTGTTGAATCCATTGCTCACAAATTCAATGGAATTCCAAACGAAACCCGCGTCGACTTGAGCTATCTGGTTTTGCCGCCGTCGCAATTTCTTGTGTGGAAGGAGAGGTTAGTCGCGTTTACACGGACTCTAGCGCATGATATCAACGAGGCATGGGATCAGCCTGCAGAGTTTGCTGCTGTCGTCATCGCATTGTTCATTACACTGGACACTGCAACTTGGATCATATCGTTGTGCCTACGAGGTTCTTCTGCCAATTATGACCGGAAGCTGCTTTGGTGGCAGTGCCGGCTTCCTGTTGTTATCGTGTATCCAGCTGCTTGCGGCAAGTTCTGCAACGTGCCAGCCAGCAGTTTGGGCGGCGTTTCTTCGTTCTCTTTTGGTCATCGTCACTTTTTCTATATATTTTTGTTCCGTTCTTTCTTGGGCGCCTGTGGGGCAGTTTGGGGGGTCCCTTGGGCTGTCCCGGAGCCCTCGTGGGGGTCTCTTGGGTCATTTTGGAGCTCCTTTGGACCGTCCTGAAGCCCTCTTAGCCGTCTGGGGTTCTGTTGCGCCCGTCGTGGGGCTGTCCTGGGGCCATCGAGACGCCTCTAACGCTGTCTCGGGTTCCTCAAGCCTTTTTGGCCTAGTTTAAATTTGTCTTAGGGGCGTCTAGGAGCCATCTTGGGCGGTGCTGAGGCTGTCTTGGAGGATGATTGGGCCGTGTGAGGGGGTGGCATACTGGAGACCTCCAGGGCCGTCTGGAGCTGAAGGGTGTCCGAAAAGTGAAACCGCTATATCTATATATAACACAAAAAACAACATGTTTTCTGGGTTTCCGGAGGCCCCCTAGTGGCCGTTTTCGACGTCTCTTGGGCAGTCTGGATGCAAGGGCCGTAATGAGGTTATCTTAAGCCGTCTTGGAAGCACTTTTGGCCATCGTGGCGGCTTAGGTTGCTTGCCTCGGCCGTCTTGGAACTTCGGGGGCACCGCTTCATCGGTTTGCACAGGGGGCTGTGGCTTCGGGAGTCCTGGATCTTGTGTTTCTACCCGAGAAGGGAGGGCGGCGCACGCGGTTTAACGCGACGAGAGGGGGGGGGGGTCTAAGAAGATTACAGAAACATCAGCAGACAGCTTTTGGCATTGTAGCACGCCCCAACATACCAGGGGGCACTGCGGCGGATAGTGTATTCGCCACAATTGTTCAGCGACGATTCGTTGATCATGTCCTCAAATACGAGATGACCATCGCTTGGATATGTGCGGGAGCTTTGTTTCTTGCAGGAAGCATGCTGCACTCGTGCAGGAGAGGTCGTATCAAGAGTGACTGAGCTCATGGTGTGCGTGTGCACCACACGAGGTGCCGCAGTCCTGGAACCGAGCACAACAAAACACACAAAGAATGCCCAAAGCCTGTTTTTTGCACTTAGGGGTTCCTACCACGATTACTCGCTAGTCGAGCTGCGGTCCTGGGCTTTCGCCCACCTTGGCGCCCGTGCCCGCCTCTCCTGCCCGTCCCTGCGCGGGCGGGCGGTTCAGGAGGCACCTCGTGGTCTGCACATGGACTGCACCAGGTGTACAGATAGTCCACCACATGTATTGCACCCCCTTATGTTTCACGACATCAATGACACCACAGAAGCCGAGCCACACAGTTTCGAGCTCATGGGCTTCCACCTCCAGGAACGATTTGGAACCGACCGTTTTGCCGAAGCTGGATTTATCGGCTGGCCGTTTCGTATGGGTTGTCCACAAGTATGTCGCGCGACCGCTTGTTTAAAACATCGAAGATTAGCCATTGCAGAAGGTTGGCATCGACACCCGCGCCATCCCTTTCAACAAAAACAGGTTGGGAGCACGCGCGTTGGTCAGAGTGAGGGGGCCGAACTGTCATTCATTGTCCCTGGGTGCGTGGCTGAAGTGGGGATCCGTGGTGGGGATGTTGCTTGTTGCGTTGTTGTTGTTGTTGCTGTTATTGTTGTTGCTGCTGGTGCTGTTGTTGTTGGTGCTGTTGATGGTGTTGCCGTTGTTGTCGTTGTTGTCGTTATTGTTGTTGTGGCTGTTGGTGGTGTTTTCGTTGATGTTGTTGTTGATGTTGTTGTCGGTGTTGCTGCTGTCGTTGTTGATGCTGGTGTTGGTGTTATTGTTGTTGTTGGTGTTATTGTTGTTGTTGGTGGTGTTGGTGTTGTTTGTTGTTTGTTGTCGTCGTCCCACCCGCGACCCACCCGCGACCAATCCCGCGACCCACCCCGCGACCCAACCCGCGACCCATTCCGAGACCACCCCGCGACCCATCCCGCGACCCACCCGCGACCCACCCCGCGACCCACCCCGCGACCAACCCGCGACACATCCCGCGATTCCACACGCGACCCGCCCGCGACCCATTCAGACACCCGCGACCCAGTCAGAGTGAGGGAGCCGAAATGTCATTGTCCCTGGGTGCGTGGCTGAAGTGGGGATTCGTGGTGGGGATTATGTTTGTTGCGTTGTTGTTGTTGTTGCTGTTGCTGTTGCTGTTGCTGTTGCTGTTGCTGTTGTTGTTGTTGTTGTTGGTGGTGTTATTGTTGATGTTGTTGTTGTTGTTGTTGCTGTTGTTGCTGTTGTTGCTGTTGTTGTTGAATTCTCATTTTTGAAGAATAATTCGTGTTGGTCCCCCCACCGGTGCATACTGTTTTTTCTCAATCAAAGTGTGCCCCTCGACGCTCGCACCTTGTTTTTTGACAGGGAAAGTCTTCCTGCTCAAACTGGCCCCTTGGCCCCCGGGTTACAACAACAACGGCTCCCGCCTGAGACTTCCTTGCAATTTAGCCAGGACCCCCGCTCCCGCCCGAGACTTCCTCGCATTTTATTCAGGAATCGCGCTCTCGCTTTGGACTTCATTACAATTTATGAAGGAATCGCTCTCCCGGCGCTCTGGAGTCGCGCTCTCGCTGGAGACTTGCTTGCAACTTACTGAAGAATGGCCTTGCGTTGGGATTTGTTGCAATTTGCCCAAGCGCCCGACACCCAGGCACCCAGGAGTCGCGCCCGTGGTGGCCCCATGTGCATGCCCTTCGTGGCCCCGCTGTCGCCCCTTGTCCCCCTCACTGTCCTACGTGGCCCAGTTGCTACCCTCAGTGGCCCCATAGTTGCCTTCTGTGGCACCGCATTATCTGCACTTTGTGGCCCCCGCTCGTTCGCGCTCTTCGTGGCCCCATACGCATTCCCTTTGTGTCCCCGCTGTCGCCCTTCGTGGCCTACTTCGTGCCCTTCGTGGCCCTGCTGTCGTTCTCTCTCGCTCTCGCTTTCGCTCGTCGTCGCCGTCGTCGTCGTCGTCGCCGTCGTCTTCGACGTCGTCGTCGTCGTCGTCGTCGTCGTCGTCGTCGTGGTCGGTCCCCCGTCCGTCCCTCTTGGGGTCGGGTCGACGGTCCGCGGCCGCCCCGCCGATCAGCGCTGCCGCGGGCCAGGCCGACGGTCCGCGGCCGCCCCGCCGCTTGCCGGGGCCCGGCCTGCAGGGAAGAAAGGTATACCTCCCAAAAGGGGTTCGATCGAAGACGAAGAAGGCGGGTATCGAGGGTTTGGGAAATACGCGTTATTGGACACTCGAGCATATAAGGGCGATCAGTCTTAAGATTATTGTTGTTGTTGCTGTTGTTGTTGATTGTTTGCTTGTTTGTTTGTTTATTTGTTTGTTTGTTTGTTTGTTTGGTTGTTTGGCTGTTTGTTTGTTTGTTTGTTGTCGTCGTCCCACCCGCGACCGCCCCGCGACCCACCCCGCGACCCACCCCGCGACCCCACACGCGACCCACCCCGCGACCCACCCCGCGACCTGCGACCCACCCCGCGACCCACCCGCGACCCACCCGCGACCCACCCCGCGACCCACCCGCGACCCACCCCGCGACCCACCCGCGACCCACCCGCGACCCACCCGCGACCCACCCGCGACCCACCCGCAACCCACCCCGCGACCCACCCGCGACCCACCTGCGACCCACCCGCGATCCAGCAACGACCCACCGGCGACCCAGCCGCGACCCATTTGCGACCCACCCGCGACCGACCCACATTGGTTCAACGAAAAAATGAAGGAAAACATCGGCGCCTGCGGCGGGCTCGTTGTATAATGTGTGAAACGTTGGCGCCTGCGGCGGGCTTCTCCAGTGTCTCGCAGACTGCCGATGTCCCCACCGCCCCTTCACTCTTATCCGCATCTGCGGGGTGCTACGTATAACAAGTGCGTGTGGCAAGGACCGCATTAGAATGCGCCATGCGAACACTCGTTCGATTTCATGTATCGCACCAAGTATGTTTGAAGACGAGTTCGTTCGTCAGTCGGCGGGCCACACATGGGGGCATCTCGCGCACAGGGAAGACGCACGCTTTGAGTTCCCGCGGCCCGTGCCATTCGAGGTCCCGTGCTGTGTCGTCTACTGTTTCTACGCATTGATTTTAGATTTGGGGTGGCTCGGGCCAGGGATCCGCAATCACGGCGGGGAGTTGGCGCACGCGCGCGCTCGCCAGGACAGCGCGCGTCAGAAGTGCGCTTGGATCGTGCGAGCGAAGCGCGAAGGCGACAAGGGTTGCTGTTAGTTGTGGCCGTTGTTTGCGCGTTGCTTGGTGGCCAGGCAGCGCGAAGGTTCTTCATCGAAGAGCACTAAGATTGAACGGTCGCCGCGAGAACGAGTCCATTGCTGCGCTCGCAGCGAGAGCGAGGTTGGAGTCGGCCGCCGAGGCGGCACGGCGCAGAGCGCGCACGGCCTGGGCCGCGGACCGGGGCCGGGGCCGCGGCCGGGAACGCAGCGCGCGCGGCGCCGCGTTTGACGCCCGCGCGCGCCGCTTGCGCGAGACGCTGCTCTCGCGGCGCCGCGAGCGGGGGCAGCGAACTTTCCACGGCGCGCGCGCGGAGCCCGCGGCCAGCGCGGCGGCCGAAACGCTACGCCGCGGCGGTGACGGAGGCGACCGAGCGCGAGGAGCGCGCGCAGCAGGCGATCAGGGCCGTTCGATCGTCGCTGGAGCGGCACCAGGACAGCGGCCTCGAGCAAGGACTGCCAGAGCCGCAGGCCGCGATGTTCACGGACGCCTGGTCCGCTGCTGCGTTCAGGTCGAGTGGCTTCGGGTCGGCGACGCCGCGCGCGGCGATGCGCATGTCGGGCCAGTGGGCTGAGTGGGCGGACCGGCAGGGGCAGCCGGCGTCGCGCCCCGCGCAGCGGCCACGGCGCTCGCCGAGTTCGCCCAGTCACTTTCGACGCGCGGACGATGGGCGCCAGGACCAACGCGGCCCCGCCACCACCCGCGCGCGACGGGGCTTCACTTCCTTGGACCCGTGGGTGGGGGGGCTTCCACGTTCGATCTCGGTTGGGCGTTCGGCGTAGGCCGTTTGCCGTTAAAAGGTGGCCCCCATCCTTCGGCCCTTTCTTTTCTCACTTTGCATGGAGGCGCACTCGAAGGCACGAGGCGCCTGGACGGGCCCGACATGGTCCGCGTTGGCAGGGGGGGGGGGGGGGGGGGCGGCCCTCCGAGGATCTGGCATAACGTGGAGACGCGTGCCCCTACACGCGCATACCTGCTTGGACGATGCGCGTCGGCTTGCGCCGGGCGATCCGGGCGCCGGGGCCGCGGCGCCGCTGGCCCAGGCTACCATCGTCGAACCTGAGATGATCTCCCACGCGCGCGATTTCCTCGATGGCACATGTTTACCATGGCAGGTCACGCGCGCAGCTGAGACGTCGGCAATGATATTTGCGCGGATGAGGCACGCGCACACGCTGCGCTCGAGGCCATCGGAGAGATCGCCCCACTTTTGCCGGCCCCTCGCGTCGCGAGGAAAGCAGGGGGGACCTTCGTTTGATCGGCGCCTATCTAGGCGGCCAGGGGACGCGCGACCCGCCACCGACGCCTTGCGGGACGCTTTGCACAAGCTGGCGGCGCGGGAAGGTCACGCAGCAAGGGCCGTGCCTGGGGGCATCGGTCTTGACGCGATTTCCAGTGCGCCAGCGAAGCTGGGTGCCTGTCACCGATTACTAAGGAAGTTCTCAAAGGCTCGTTATTGGGCGATTCCAAGTTAGATCTCGTGACTTCGCGCTTCGCGTCGAGCGGGGCCTACGTGGACGGGCGCCACGCAGCTGGATTGGGAAGTCCGGGTCATATCTGACGACTGGACGGAGGGGGGCGACAGGTCCCGTCGGAAACAGATGCCTATCGCGCATAACGCGCGTCGGCGGCAAGCCAGGTGCGCACTCGCTTGCGCGCGGCAGTCATGCCGCCCTGCTTACGAGCCGCGTTTGAGGCCCCGGTGCAGCGGGGGCAGGCACGAGGTTGGGCATGTTCCGCACGCGGAAAACTTGCGTTGGCTGACCTGGAGAGCGGGGCGCAGCAGCGGGCGGCGGCGTCGGCCGCCCGCGAGAAGGCCGTCTTTTCATTGCTGTTCGCTGTCGAAGAGCTGCGGCGGTAGAGGTTGACCCCGTCGTTCTTTGTTCTGCGAGGACGGCGGGCGGGGCGCGGGAGAGCGCCGGGCGCGCCCGCGGGTCAGAGCCCCGCCGACAGGCGCTCCGCGGGCAATGGCGCGGGGGAGGGGCCCGCGCGCCGACGCGCGGGGCGCGCCCGCGCGCCCCGCGAACCCCGTCTCGTCGAGGGCCCCGCGCGTAAAAGCGGGGGGGGCGCAGGGGGGCACTTAGCGGTTTGCGCGGGGGCGCGCGGCTGCTGCCTGCGAGCCCGCGCGGGGCGCGGAAAGTTGCCGGGAGAAACATGGGGCCCGCGAAGGCGGGCGCGCGCCGCGTCGGCGTCGGCGGCCGTCGCGGGCCGCGCAGAGTGAACCGCGACATGGTCGCGCGATCCAACGGCATTGCGCCCGAGATTGGGCGGCGTCGGGGAGCGCCCCCACGCCCCGTTCAATGGGCGGCG